CAATAGAACTGGATTTCTATAGGGAACAACCCCATGACCTCATAGGGCATGATCATAGTCTGGTTGGTATAAAGACCATAGGCTTACTTCACATTAAATACACTTGTGTGTGTGTGTGTATGTGTGTGTGTGTGTGTGTGTGAATGGATGGGATGGGATGCAGCGTATGGATGGATGGATAGATGGATGGATGGATGGGATGGGATGGGATGGAAATGGGATGGGAGGGAGGGAGGGAGGGAGGGAGGGAGGGAGGGATGGATGGATGGATGGATGGATGGATGGATGGATGGATGGATGGATGGATGGATGGATGGATGGATGGATGGATGGATGGATGGATGGATAGATAGATAGATAGATAGATAGATAGATAGATAGATAGATAGATATCACTAACAGTGAAAATTTATTGTAGCAATCATTGATTAGGATTTATACAAAGACCTGAAAGTAAAGCACTTAAACACTAATACACCCATCTACATTCTAAAAAATGTTTCCATGATGGAAACACGATAAGTTTATCATTTTGTTGTTGATAATGAGTAAAATACATTAAACAATTCTTTCCAGCTGTTTATGCATTTAATCCTTGATAAACAAAGGAAATGTAAAAGTTCAATGATAAAAACCTGAAATTGTGTAGCCTATTTAATTCATCTAGAAAACTTGGATAATTTATACTCACTAATGATTAATGAGTGGAAATGCATCATTATACTCACTAATGATTAATGAGTGGAAATGCATCATTATACTCACTAATGATTAATGAGTGGAAATGCATCATTATACTCACTAATGATTAATGAGTGGAAATGCATCATTATACTCACTAATGATTAATGAGTGGAAATGCATCATTATACTCACTAATGATTAATGAGTGGAAATGCATCATTAATCTATAGGCCTAGAATTAACATCATGCAATTTCAATGTTTATACATGATTGTTATTGCACATGGGCAGTTCATGGCTTCTAAGGTAACAGCATCAATATATATATATATATATATATATATATATATATATATATATATATATATATATATATATATATATATATATATATATATATATATATATATATATATATATATATAAGCATCCTCAACAAGTTAAAATAAACTAATTGAAACATATTAAATTTAAAAGTTTAATTCCTGTAGAAACAGCTATGTAAGGTTTGCAATCACAATGCTTGCTTTATATATATATATATATATATATATATATATATATATATATATATATATATATATATATATATATATATATATATATATATATATATACACACACACACACCATAAGTATTGGGTATAGAATTAGCACTTAAACTGACCTATAGACCATCTTCCTTCATGCCATGGTTGTTCTGTCAAACAGAGCTCTGCAAACTCTTAGTTAGGACATCATACAGGGAATCTCCCCTGTTCCTTATAAACTGTAGTATATTTCCCCATGGCTGTTCGGTCAACCAGAGCTCTGCAAACACTTAGTTGGGACATCATACAGGGAATCTCCCATGTTCCTTATAAACTGTAGTATATTTCCCCATATATTTCCCCAAGTGGGGGCAATACCAGTAATCAATTTACTACTGATCCATGCATGCCAATTATGGAGATATGCAATGCCTTTGTGCTACCCAGGTCCTCGATTTTGGCACATAAATGAGGTGCCATATACATCCAAGTGTGATCTAATGGCAAATCACACAGATCAGATCTGTCACCACATAATGCACTGGAAGATCTGGGTCTATGCAGTTTGTTAGTACAAATCAGGTCAATTAGCAACAAAGACTGATCTGCTGGTGCATTATATGATGGTGTCAGTGTTGTTTGCAGTTGGACTTGAATTACAGGTATGTATAATGTATATACATTCATATCCTGTCATGTAATAAATACACATGACAACCAGATGTGACGGGACAAATAATAACCATGATATAAAATCAATCTGTCAAGTTTATAGCCATGGAAAATACAAAGAACAATATTAGTATTTTCTTCAGGTTACAATAAACCTGCCATCCTAAATTCTGTAAGTTTTGGATACTGACTAACACAGGGTGAGGAGGGACCTCTTTACAGAATTTATGAATAATGAATGAATGTCAGCCAACCTGTGCCCCATAATCCAGTAAAACATCACTCAATGGGAGTGTGAACCTAACTTCTAGGCCAAAGAAAAAAATGTGTATGATTAAGGTAACCCTATTCTAGTGACCTACCAGCCATGCCCCATTAATATCTAAACTTGGTAACCTTTGATTTAAAACCCAATATAAACTAACAAGAACTAGATGAAAAGGAAGTAATAATATTAGCTCCAAGCTTCCTCCCCACTGGTTTTTCACTTCTATGACAGAACCACACATACTTTTGTATATATGCTCTATTATTTGATGCATTTTTGGGGTTTGTCTAAACAGAAGTGAACTATGACCTTGGGGGGAAAGATAAAACCATTATCAGCTTCATCATTACACTAAGTTAAAATTTATTTTCAAAAATTTTTTGACCTACAAAATTTTTAAATGAAAATGAAGTATACTATCAAATATTAATTTCTCTCCATATATATTATAATACATGAAGTCTAACAGATCTAAAATCTTTCACATATGCATGACTTTTAAAGGAGAAATAAAATATTGTTTCTGCTGCTGTGTGCAATCCAAGTTAAAATGACTTTGTTTTGCGCAGTTACAAGGAGATTGTTTTGTGGAGTGCATGATTTGAATTTTTAACATAGCTTTAAAAAAATCAGTAATATCACTAAGATTAGATGTCTCTAGTGAGACAGTTTTATAGCAATATCTAGCACTGGGGCATCAAGCTGCAGATGCTGTAGCTTGACGTCTCACCTTGTCACATTACATTATCCTGACACCAGGCTGACCATTCCTAACACTAACCTCTTAATGCTGTGTGCCTAGCAAGGCAGCTGTTAGTACCATTTTTTAAAGTCTTGGTATGGCTAGGCTAGGGTTCAAACTCAAACCACCCACATCCAAGGCAGATGCTTCAACCACTAGAGTGGCTAATTTGTAGAGTTAAAATGAGTTTGTTTTGTGGAGCTAGATAGAGTTTGTTTTGTGCACTTAGCACCAATTTTCAGCACATGATAGGCTTTATATACAATTGGCAGTCAGTATATTTGGTGGAGGAAGAGCCCAGAAAGAATGACAAACAAATGGGAACTACCTGCATACACATGCTGAGCATGTTGAGACTCACACAGATAGAATTGGGGCATGTGAGTGATCTGTACACTACTTGGCAATGTGGGGATCCAAGTTGAAATGAGACATTAAGAAAATAATCTGATGCACAAACATCAAGTCTGCCCACTGTATGCAGACCTATCTGTTCCAAACAATGTACAAGATATGCTCAGGTGGAAAGTGCAGATGAGAAAGCCATCTGTAAATCTAAATTAGCTATAAACTGTCCACTAGTAGCACAGTTAATAATAACCAGGACAATTTTCAGCTAGTTATATTCATTTGGTTTGATGAGGCACAGCAACACATAAAGGTTACCACTGGAGCAATTTAGTGCTTTGCCTATAGACACACAATGGTAGTCTACACAAGTTGATTCAATTGTAGGATTCAAACAGAGACCTTTCTTGACACAAGTCTGATACATTAACCAGGACTGAGTGGCCACAGCCTTCATGTAGTACTCCATGTCCACATGGTGTCTGGCAATGATCAATGTACCTGATGTCCACATGGTGTCTGGCAATGATCAATATACCTGATCTCCATGTGGTGCCTGGCAATGACCAATGTACCTGATGTCCTCATGGTTTCTGGCAATGATCAGTGTATCTGATGTCCACATGGTGTCTGTCAATGAACAATGTACCTGATGTCCTCATGGTGTCTGGCAATGATCAATGTACATGATCTCCATATGGTGTCTGGCAATGATCAATGTACCTGATGTCCACATGGTTTCTGGCAATGATCAGTGTATCTGATGTCCACATGGTGTCTGGCAATGCTCAATGTACCTGATGTCTACATGGTTTCTGGCAATGATAAATGGACCTAATCTCCATATGGTGTTTGGCAACAATCAATATACCTGATGTCAACATGGTGTCTTGCAATGATCAATTTACCTGATGTCCTCATGGTGTCTGGCAATGATCAATGTACCTGATCTCCATATGGTGTCTGGCAATAATCAATGTACCTGATGTCCACCTGGTGTCTGTCAATGAACAATGTACCTGATGTCCATATGGTATCTGGCAATGATCAGTGTATCTGATGTCTATATGGTGTCTGGCAATGATCAATGTCCCTGATCTCCATATAGTGTCTGGCAAGATCAATGTACCTGATGTCCACATGGTATCTGACAAGATCAATGTACCTGATGTCCATATGGTGTCTGGCAATGAACAGTGTACCTGATGTCCATATGGTGTCTGGCAACAATCAGTGTATGTGATGTCCACATGGTGTCTGGCAATGATCAGTGTATCTGATGTCCACATAGTGTCTGGCAATGTTCAATGTACCTGAACTCCACATGGTGTCTGGCAATGATCAGTGTACCTGATCTCCACATGATGTCTGGCAATGATCAGTGTACCTGATCTCCACATGGTGTCTGGCAATGATCAGTGTACCCAATTTGAGTGTGAATAAATGCAGTATTGAATTTAACCCTTCTCTTCTCATCAACATTATTGGGACACATGGTACTAATTTTATGGAAAAATGGATGTGATTATGATTTTTAACATAGTTTTAACAATTTTTCAGTCTTATAGCTACAATATCTGCAGTGTGGCATTTTATAGTGAAGTCTAGCACTGGAGCATCATGCCACAGACATGTAGCAATATGTCCCACCCAGTCACATTATCCTGACACTAGGTCGACTAGTCCTAATACTAACCTCTTAATGCTGATCATCAAGCAAGGCAGCTGTAAGTACCATTTTTGTAAGTCTTTGGTATGACTCAAGCGAGGATCGAACCCGCAACCTTCCACATCCGTGGTGGAAGCTCTAACCACTTGGCCACCGGAGTGGTTAAGGAAAATTGGGAACTTATCTTGAAATAGCTGAACATAAAATTTGATATATGTGAGGAGTTTGTCTGGCTAGGATTGGTTGATAATGAAAGTTATTTTCTACGAGGGTAGGGGAGAATCTTTTGAGAGCTTATGCAAGTTGTAACTGAAAAAAAATATATAAAGACAGTTTTATTGATGGAATTACAGTCTTGAGTTTGGAACACTCATTAGTGAAGCTAACACCAGACTCTTTAGTTCGGAATTAAAGGAACATATTTCAAACACATATTGTAGATCCAGAAAATGTCACGGTTCATATCCTTTTCTCTACACAGAAGCTGTCATCCTGGTTTCACCTATACCAATAAATATTGGTTTGATCATGAGCACTCAGAAATTTAAAGTTACAGAATTTTTAATATCATGGTGTTTGTTATGATTACTTGGGAACTGAATTAGTACTATAAGTCATACAGACAGCTACAGCAACACAGTGATTCCACAAATACAAGTGCAATTAACTTTACTATCAATGCAATTGCATTGTGACTCCACTATAACATTGTTATAACATGAATTTGGATATAACATGTTCATGGCATGGCTCCCAAAACTTCATTTACCTTATTACCAGTATTTTTCTCATAAACAAAAAAATTTTAAGTACAAAAAGTAAATTACATAAAGTTTAATTATCATTTTGGAAAATAGATTGCTTATAAATTTTAATATATATATATGACATTTGTGGTGTGGCTCCCATAATATCATATACATGTATTATTCTCGTATATGGATAATATTTCTTTTTAAAAGTGCAAAAAAGCAGCTTGTAGATTTTTATCATTTTGGGGAGGAAATTACATATTGATTCTAATATAAAATGATCCTGGCGCAGCTCCTAAAATGTTTAAATTTAAGAAATTTCTTAGTTTTGTGCCAAAATAAACATTGGAAATATGAGTATCTGAAACCATGTCTGGGCCTTTTAAGAATTTTGGTCTTTGTTTATCCTTGAAAGATGACTGTTCATAAGGTTAATATTATTAATGGTTCCTGAGCAATGAAGCCCTCAAGTCAACTTTGCCCTCAAGGAATTCTTTATACAATTGTTGCTCAAACATACATTCTATAAGCAACAAACAATGCAGAGGTTGAAAAGATTCTCACCTAATTTATAAATCAATTGAGTACATTGCTAATCATCAAAGTCAATTGTCAAGCTAAACTTGTTCAAATGATGGGTCCACAATTTATAAAACATCAAAGGCAAACTGCCAACATATGCACTTGGTGTTGTTTTATGCAATCAGTTGACTAGTGAATAATGTTTTCCATTCCCTACAAATATAACCCCTTTGTTTACTGACAATTATTCTTGCTGAGGTCTTTCAACTAATAGGTGTACATTGTTAATCAGTGGACATTTTGAATGGAATATGAGAAATTAAAAGGTAAAGCATTTAAGGTTAAAGAAAAGATTGAAACTTTGGACAGGATTATGTCTGGTGTTAGACAATCAAAAGTAGCTAAAGATTTAGGTGTGAATGAATCAACAAAATCAGGATGGATGGGGGACAAAGCAAAATTAAGAGAGATGGTTGTGGCTATGCATACAAACAATAATAAAGTATTCCAAATCATGGATGAGAAAATTTAGGAGTATGAAATTTATAGACACCGAGCCTTTAAATGTAGTTTGCCTTTAAATGTAGTTTGCGTCATTCATTACATATTATTTGCAATTTATTTTTCCATTGAATTCAGTCGCATACCGATCTGTGACAAAATCACTGAATATTTTAAATCTGTGTGCTGATATTTTCGTTGCAAATACCTATATTGTGGATTCAAAGTATATGATGAGATTCATGGGTGAGTACACTGTGTTGATACTTTATTCATGCTTTAGATATGTATATATAAACTATACATGTGTATGCATCAATTCGTGGTTCTATGAAAAAAGCAATATATTATATATGCAACCTGTTATCACTGCTGGTGTTTTTCTCATTTAATATACATTGATTTAAAATAGTAACTGCCAATGAAGCACATTTTGCACCCACTTTTATTAGCCACCCACCCCTGATATGTTGGTAATGTACATGGTTGCTTATGACATGGTTCAGTTCATAACAGTCAGGTTCTATGGGTCCCAACTATTATGTTATGGCAGGGTCACACTATATATGGTTCTGTTTGTGGATAACAAGAACAATTAATACCTTTTTGAAAACCACAGAGTGAACTTTCAGTTAAAAGTTAAACATATACATGTATGTAGAAATATCAACTGTTGCCAAGAATGGGTGGGGAGGTGTGCAGTGTGTAGAATGTGTAGATTTGATTATGTTAGGTGGAGTGATTTGCACATTGGTTTATATTTATGCAATCACATATATAAAATTTATACAATTTACCATTTATAAAGTAATTATGGTAAGCAATATGATATTTCCTAATTGTGTTTTTAAAACACTGCTTCCAATATGATCACTTAGGTCTCTTCCACCATGCCTAATGGTGATGACCTCTGATGGCTTTGAATCCCATTAATTTCTTTCAGTAAATATTTTGAAACTTCATATTTTGTATTTTAATGGACTTATGTCTACCTTACTTTAGCTTTAAATTATATGTGTTCTGGGGGAAATTTATGTAGTTTCTGTCATTTATATCTCCTTTTCTGTAATAATACATGTCACCTTGACCTTTTACTCATTAATTACACAATATGACAGGGCTGGAAATACAGTTCAGTATTAAAGTGAAGAAGGATATACATGTAGTAAAAAGGTGACTCTTATTAGACAGATTTATTTTAATATTTAAAGCTCATATACTTAAACATTGCATGAAATGCACCATTGCTTTACAGTCATATAATTTAATATTCATTAATGTAATCTTTGATAAATAGAACTCTGTACATTGCTTACTAGGTCTGTCATTGAACTCATGGATGGATATAGGACAGCCCATACCAATTGTATGGAAAAATGTGAACCAGTCAGGAAATAGGTGAACATAAAATGGAGTAAATACGGTTTACCAGGTTAGGATTATTTGATAATGAAAGTTATTTTCTTAGAAAAAAAACTTTTGAGAGCTTGTCCTAGTTGTAGCTGTTTTATTGATGGAGTTTGGACATTGCTGAAATTAGCAGATGACTCTTTGGTGTGGAATTGAAAGCAAGTTTGAAACACATGTAGGTCCAGAAAATGCAATAGTTAATAATCCATTTCTCTACACATAGCTTTTATTCAGGTTTCATATGTAATGATAAATAAAGTGATATGATTATGATTTTAACCTAGCTTTAACAATGTTTCAGTCATATCACTACATGTCTACAGTGTGGCAGTTTATAGTGATGTCTGGCACTGGGGCATCATGCAGCAGGCATGTAGCATGATGTCCCACCCAGTTACATTATCCTGACACCAGGCTGACCAATCTTAACACTAACCTCCTAATGCTAAGCACCAAGCAAGGCAGCTGTTAGTACCATTTTTGTAAGTCTTTGGTACCACACAACCAAGGATCAAACCCATGACCTCCCACATCTGATATGGATACTCTAACCACTAGGCCAAGGGAGCAGTAAATAAAGGCTTGATCATAAGCACTCAAAATGTTAAAGTTACTTTATTTATAATATTATGGTATTTGCATGAGTTTATAATGGGAATTGAATTAATACCATGAGTACTATTGGAAGCTGTAGCAGTGCAGGTGGTAGAGCATCAAATTGTGTAATTCAGTGGTTGCAGGTTCAATATCTGTCCAAGCCAGCTTGGGTCAGATACTTTAATGTATCCCTGGGAAAGGGGTTTAGGTAAAATTTATATGATATAGCTAACAGTGTATTAAAAGTGATATTTATCAACAAAATAAAACATGCACTGTAAAATCATGCATCCCATAGAGCAGACCTTGCCTACAAAATTTCATCTCATGCAAATCACTTCAAAATACATGTACAACTCACAAAAGACAATGCTCAACAGACAACTGCATGATTTGCTTGAAATTTTAATAAGCATGACTGACTATTTGGAAAGTAAGAATCTTGCTGATAATTATCTTTAGAATGACAGGATGTTTATATTTTAATAAGCATGACTGACTATTTGGAAAGTAAGAATCTGGCTGATAATTATCTTTAGAATGACAGGATGTTTATATTTTAATAAGCATGACTGACTATTTGGAAAGTAAGAATCTTGCTGATAATTATCTTTAGAATGACAGGATGTTTATATTTTAATAAGCATGACAGACTGTTTGGAAAATAAGAATTTTGCTGATAATTATCTTTGGGATGTCTATTCTATGCCAGAAGGTTCCAGCCATAATGGTAATTTACAAATGTTGACATGCATGTTCATATTGACAACAATCTGGAAACAGACATTATGTATAAAGACAAGATTAAACACTGTGTGTGTGTACATATATATAAACTCCATTCATGACAAGTTTGCATAAGGAAACAAATTTCACAATGGCCTTCCTAATTCCTTTTATCTTGATGGAAAATAAACTCCATTCATGGAAATAAATTAAGAATGACCTTACTAATTCTATTATTTTTTTAAGGAAAATAAAGTCTAGTCATAATAAAAGGTGTATACGGAAATTAATTCACAAAGGCCTTCTTAATTTCATTTTAATTTTGTAGCAGCAAAAGCAAGTATTAATAAAGAAAAGATGAAACAAAGTTAAAATAGAAAATCCAGGGCACAATATAATATATTCAGTTCATTTTATTTATTTGAGCATCTCAGGATAGTGGCAACCAGTTTAAGAGAAATCAATCCTGAATTTCTCCATTTTTTAGACACAAAACATTTGATATCTTTTCATACCAGGTATTGCATTTTTGGCACATAACTGTAACTTCTGGTTATTGCAGACAAAAATAGTGATTATAAAAGCTTGTATTTTCAGATGAACACTATCAAATATATTTTCTTTAAAATGCATTTAAATAACCAATTCATATT